GGATCTGGTGTTGTTAATACATTCAATCAATCAACCAATGGGTATGGAAGGAACTTTGGAGATTCATCAGGAGGAGGTGGCGGTGGTGGCGGTGGCTCCATCTATGGAGACACAACTTGGAGATCCGGATCTTCTGAGCTTGATGGAACCAGCCCATTTGGCTATGGGCTTGGGAATGCAGCTTCAGATGTTACAGCAAAGAACTCAGCAGGTTACATGGGGCATTAACAAATAGAGGTTAGATATATTCTTAATGCTTATGTTCTGTTTATCTAAAGTTCCATTTTGTTGCTGGCTAGTGTTTCAACCATTACCTTCATGTGGTGCCGCTATGATGGTAGCAATGTGAAAACAGTGTCTTTAAATATTGAATATTCATTCTGCTGAAACAATATCGCTAGATGAACCCATGCATATTCAATGCTTATATAGGAAATGTTTTTACCATTGCAAATATAATGCTAGTGTTAGTTGTCCTAGGAAAATACTGGATGACACTGATCATTCAAGCGTGGTAACACCACTTGGCAGTTTGGCCTTTTATAGAAAAACAAGTGTGTGTTTTTTACTGCTTCTGGAGTATGTTAGATATTTACTCAATGTTGCAACTGTTACGTTAAAATGCGTATGATGATTCTCTGAATATTTCATTCTTTGGTTGGTTATTGCATTATTTATGAACTAGACATCAATTTGTTTGGATGATTCACCCATCAACGTTTAGGCATGCTGTCCAAGTAGTACAACAATTAAATTTGTAGCTGTGAAAACAGAAGCTATGCGTCCAGTTTTGACCTGTGGTTCGTAATAGATAGTAACACTTGCTTGGTGTAGAAACTTTATTCCCTTCTCCAATTATTGAACTTTTTGTCAGTGCTTAATGTGTTATGTGTGTAGCGTCCCATCAAGCTGGAGATTCTAGTTAACATATTCATGACGGTGTTATATTTAGACATTAATATGCCTGTGATATATCCAATATATAGTTCAAAAGTATACATTTGTTCCATGTTTGGCTACCACCTAGGTATACTAGGGTCATGGGTTCAGCTAGCTGTTTAGTCTTTTTGGATGTTCTTAGCTTTCTAGTTGTTAGGTTATGTCACCAACTCACCAAACTTAAAGTATCTGCTAAGAATTATAAGGTACTTAGGAAAACTGTGTCCCTTTAATAACTAGTTTTTTCATTGATTCCAGTCTCAAAGCTGGAAATCATTAACTCGACAAACTAATCTTATTTATGATTAGCTTCTGAAATATGGTGCAAACATATATTTTAGATTCAGAATAATTCTGAAGTGCTTCAATAACTTGAAATTTCGTTGCAAATGATATGTTTCAGTTCTTATCAGAAATTCAGTATTCTGAATTCATTGCTCTTACCACAACTAACCATGACATAACATTTTGCTTGTTTACGCAATGCAAATATTAATTGTGGTAGTCCTTGGATGTTTGGTAGCTTGAGTCTTCAGTCATACGGTAGACAACTTTGCATCTTAGATAAATATAAATGGCCTAATAAGATTTTGGAAACTTAAGCCTGACCTGAGTATTTTATTTTAGAGAATGAACTTCTTAGGGGCACTGGTGTAATAATTTTTTTGTCAAAGCATTCTTCAAGTTGATTTTTGTTAAAAAAAAAGATCAATTATTACAACATGCTTGTACTCATCTTATTTTGAATGTATGCTTTTCATCTTCGTTATATTACACTGCTAAGGACATTACTGAAACTAAACCTTATTTTTTGTGCTCTTTGTTTTTCTGCATGCATTGCACAACACTATATATACTCTCTAACTTTTATGTTCTCCTGTGCAGCAATGTCGCCGCCTAGGAATCTTTTTCACATACAACATTTGTCAAAATAGGTTGAGGAGAGAACCACAGGTGCATCAGGTGCAAATTTTGAACCTCACATGATTTACAGAAATGGGTTAGTTAATAGAGCTAACCACCAGGGATTTGGTCAATGAGATCAGATATATATCCTCAGAGAACCATTTAAACGTATTTCCATTTTATGTAAGGTTTGAGATTGTGGTTTCGGATTTCTACAGCGAGTTTAGGTTTTGGCAACCTTGTGTTTTTTCTTGGTTGAGATGTGAAGTAAGATTGCGGGATATATATATCTGAAGAGTGTTCAGTTGTACGGCGGCGCTGCCCCCATATAGGCCCCCCTTTTTGGGTTTTTGTTCTTATAGTAGAAACTGCTCTAGCGTTTTGCAAATTGTGTGCTAGCTGTTGTTATCAGGATGATAATTTTTTTCCCCTTCTTGGTTTTTATCTTACTGAAGTGTATGTACCAGAGATCTTGCTGGTCTGTGTTTTTCCTAGTGGAACTTTTGAGGGATGCCCCTTCTGGGTCTCAAAGAATAATAATGCTACATTATATTCTAATTCATTTTGAGGCTTTCTAAGGCTATATATTATTTGTATGTACCCTGCTGGAACATCTGTACATTCTGATGCTCTTTGCAATTTGCCTTTGTGCTGCTTTTGCATCTTCTCTTCTGGGTCTGTCTAGTGGTCAGTGGGTGATGCCTGGTTCTTCTACCATGCATAATTTACCTTGTATAATGTTGCTATTGTACCATCTCTTCATGTGCCTTTTGATGGCTGGGCTACATGGATGATGGCTCTGCAGGCTGCAGCCATGCTTGAGGATTGTGATGTTAACATATAATAATATCTTCATCTTGTGATGTACAGTAAATTACCAGCTTTTTTTTTAAAAACCCCAAATGCAAGGGATTCGGTAATTGATATGTCAATCACTATTCCTTCTGATAAGCTCCAGAATTTTGTAGGAGAGTCATAGACAGTTGAGTTTGTGATTTGTGAATAGATTAGAAATTAAGTAGTTGAAGTTATTAATAGATTAGAAAATCAGCAACCTGTCATGAGAATTAGGAACTACTCCCCTCGTCTCAAAATATAAGCATTTTTTACTCTAACACGGTCTCCGAGATGCTACTTTGACCAACAATATCTATAAAACTAAGATGTTTTAAATAAAAAAAGTTGCATATTATGATATTTTGTTTAATGATAAATCTAGTAAAATCAATTTTACATGATTGATCTTTTTTATAATTTTGTTATTAATAGTTAAAATTAAAAATGTTTGACTTGTCACTATGCTAAAAATGCTTATATTTTGGAATAGATGGAGTACCTGTTTACTCCGTATGTGATAGGTGCCTGATCTTTTAACTCTTAATTATTGATTTTCATATGCAGCCCAACCTAATTTTTCATGCTTAATCAACGGTTTGGTATCAGCTTTCAATTCTTCTAGTGTTAATGAAGTTGCTTCAACTGATGAGCAGTTAAAAAAAATTATGAACAATTTCTTACAGCAGAATTCTCCATAGATCGCTTACTGAATGTAGCTTGTCAGAATGAAAACAGTCACTTAGCTCTTGCATGATGTGAAACAGCGTGCTCGCCAAAGAAGTTTTACAAATTCAGAGTGAAGCAGTTGAAAAGAAGTTATGCCCCAATGCAAGTTTCCTTTTTTTTTAAAAAAAAAAATCATGGCCCATTAGAGAACTACATCTTTTCCATAATTCCAACCAACTTGAAAAGGCATTTTGCAAATTCAATTGCTCCATTTGAAAAGGAAGATTACCCCAAGTTTTTTTAAACAAAAATACATGACCCAAGACAGAATTGTGTCGTCATAATTCATTTGCCCATAGAGGTAGAGAATTAGGTGGTAGATTTTTTTTTTTGGGGTGTAGAAATCGATCCATGCAAGCAAAACAAAGGTGCTTTCCTAACTGGACCACTGCTATTAATAGACAATTCTTTAGAAATTATATAGCAATCTGATTTTTAATAGTTGATGCTATTGATTTTTCGATATACATTTTGACCACTCATCTTATTAAAAAAAATTACTACCTCCGTCTCAAAACATATTGTGCCAAAACATAACATGGGGCAGAGGCAGCATGTAATTGTCATTTATTTTATTGTGACTTGATTTATCATTAAAACTACTTTAACCATAACTTGCATTTTACATATTTGTATAAATTTTTAAATAAGATAAATAATCAAATGTATAGATAACCGTCAATAACATCTTCTATTAAAGCAAAGGAAGTAATTGTTATGATGGGAAGAAACTGTCACTTAGGGTCCTTTGAATCAAACAATTTATGAAGGAATTTGATAAGATTTAAATTTTATTAAAAAATATATTTGGTCCTTTGATATAAAGGATTGGAGCTTTCCAAATCCTATAAAATCCTATTGAATGGCTCATCACATCTAGATTTTGGTGAAAAATTAGCAAAAACTCCAACATCTTAGAAAACTTCCTTTGAGGCTTATCTCTTTCATCCTATTCTTTTTTTCCCCTTATCCGATCAAACAATTATTCATGTATTCTCTTTTTACAGAATCATATGTCTTTTCTACGTTTTTTCTATTCTGTTTTTCCATTCAGGTTAGAAAAGGGCCAAGCAAGTAATCATTTTCATGTCTCGATCCCAATGCCTTTATGATTCTACTCTGGTTCCATAATTCGTGACGTTTTAGACATTGACACAGTCTCCAAAATATATCTGACTATGTTTTTCTATTATAATATATGCAATAAATAATTTTTCATTTTATTATAATACTTAGTAAAACGAATCTATATACGTTGTTCTAGTGTCTTTAAATTAAAAATTAGATTAAATTAGAAATTATTTATAGTTAAAGTTATAAAAGTTTGGCCTCAACGTTATCCGAAGCATCTAGAATTATAGAACCGACCGAACCAAAGAATTGAATTATGAATCCAAAGGGAGTTCAGTTAAATTGAACCACCTAACCCTTTCATACTTAAAGGGAACTAACTAAATCTGTTTAGGTCTGACAGATAAAGTGCTAAATTTGTTTAGCTCTGACAGATAAAGGAAGACATGATCATGGCATTCTTTCTACCGTGAATGATCATGGTTGTGACTTTTTGAGAAATCATGCAAATGGTGGAGACAGGATATAAGTTTCACTGATACATAAATCACTAAAGGTCTTCTGAACAAATCCAGACTGATGTAGAAGTTCCAATAAATACAAGTAGTACAATTCCTGTTCTGCCAAAAAAAAACATTCTCTGAAAATACAGCACAACAGAGCTCAGAGTTGCTAGTTCACCAAATCTCCTAGAATCTCTCTATTCAGGCATTCAGTTCTGTAAGAACCCTTTTGGTGCATTATACAGGAAAGATTAGGCCCTCAATTTTGTTGCCTACATGAATTCAATACCCAATTAATTGGTAGCTCCCATTGATAAGCTGCAGACTCTATCTTCATCTCTTTCAATCTTTCTTGACACGGTTCCGAGCCGCCTTGGCTGAGCTCGATCGCTCTGACTGCGAGAACATGATGAAGACATGCATGACCGCCGTCACCAGTGCGAGCCCAAGGCCCGTAAACCCGACTCCTTTCCATGTCGACAGGAGTTGAGTCCATAGGAAGAGCTTGACGGCGCCATATAAAAGGAGACATGACCAAAACAAAGTCACCTGTTACATAAGCAGAATTAGAAAGTCAGTAACTAACCAAACACTAGTAGCATATACATACAAGACGTCCTATGGAAGTTGCTACAGTAATTGTATTGGACCAAACAAGGAACAGTTCTATGCAGGCTTGCAGCAAGTACTTGAGTTTTGCATTTCTATCACCAACAGTGTGTTCTTACGGTAGTCCCAGCAAAACACCTCCCCTGATCCTCTGACTTGGCCCTGACAAAGGAAGGGGCTTCGACCCAAGTTTTCAGTTTCAGACCAGACAAACCCCAAACAGCCTGATTTCGAATTTTAAAAAAGATGTTTTCTATAAAATTAAACTGTTTTTTTTTATTTTGACTTGTTGAGCATGGACCAACAGACTTTGAGCTAACCCAAAAATATTCACAGTTGGTACAGCTGCAAATACTGCCACTAGCTAGCCATGCTCACTGAAATTTGTCTTCTGCTCACTCCAAATTGCCCCTCACACTATGCATCTCCAGTTGTGAGCAAATATATCACAACCATGGTCAAAAGGGCCATTTCTATGTTTTTATTTGCCTGTTCACACTCAGACCGTACTGGTATGTCTGCACACTGCCATTAGCCCTAGGTTCTAACCTAGAGACTATCTTTTATGCAATTAAGTAAAATGCTCCGGTATTGAGATTTTACCAGCAATGATTTTACTGGGCGGCCAATTGGTCTAATCTCCTCATCAAAAGTGCCTGTCGCCAAATGCTTATCCAGTAATGCATCCTGTAGTTAAGAATAAAGGAACATACAACATTTACTTCAGAATTAATTGATCGACCAATGCATTTGGCATTTTAACTGTAAGATGTCTAAATAAAAAATATATATAGCTCAGCACCTTTGCTACAAAGATGTCTTTGCACCATTTTGAAACATCGTCTTCTGACTTTGGCATCTCACTCATTGCATGACGTTTCATGCGAACATGTACCTAGAGAAACAGTGGAGTGGAAATTTGTTTCAAATCAAATCAATTTATTATGACTATGTATCTATATTTATTTGCAAGACTTCAACAGTGAAAAGAAACCCATCAAATTTCAATATTTAGTTCTGCAACACTCTCTTGATTGGTCTGCCATTAGATATCCAAGAAGTTAGCAAACATACCACTGAAGATTGCCCTTTCAAAATCCGCAGCATTGTTGGTTGAGGTGAATCTTTTGGAATAATTACTGTTGTATCATAAATAGCTGGAACAAAATCCCGCATAATAGTTACAGCTGATACAAATCCCTGGAAATTTTCATTTTTTTCACAAGAGGTATCAGTAAATAGATTTAATGCTGCAATACGAAATAACTACATGGCCAAATGCATGACATAACCATGTATTCTTAATAACTGTAAGGAGCTGATCACTCAGCCACTCCATAAACAGATTAAAGAAGTAACTGTTGTACTGAAAGTATTACAGTCATATATTATAAAAAAATGCTGTTTCAAATTGTCATTTTAGAACTTCAATTAAGCTTTAATTTTACTGGAAGTATTACAGTTATATCTTTCAGTTAGTTGCTTTTGTTTATTTCTTTAAAACAATTTGTGAATGTCCAATTGACCAGTAAAAATCTTTTTCATATAAGTTCAAGAATTTATCTTGAAATTTAGCGTATTAGGTATTCTTTTTCAGGAAGGTAATAAACAGGCAGGCATCATCATATTACTATGTTGAAACACCTGTACACATGTTTATTTCGGAATAGAAACCATCAGCCAGTACAAAAGAATTTTCAGAGTTCCCCTATTTCTCTTTTGTACTCTTATCCATAATCCATCAATATTACGAGTAGTAGTGTCTGACATCTCAGTCTTCAATGCATGATTTTGGCTATGGTGGTTTTCATCATTATGAAATTACTCATTGTCTCGTTCTATAAACTACATTTTAACTATCAAAGTTTGAAAAGGTTGACCTCATGTCAATCAAAATCTAAAAACATAACACTGCATACCGGATAGCAACTATAGGTACAAATTAGGCAGGCAACAGACATTACATGTAAATTTTGGCAGTAGAGCACAGGACCCACATTGTTACACGAGGCAAGTTGTTACACATGTATCTTACATTCGAGTGTTTCGACCTTCTTTGTATTGTTCTAAGAGATTTCAAACACAAGTAACATTTATCTACGTTTGAAGGACAGATTCTGCATCCTAATCACCTATGAAGTTGCGTATGTTTAATAGATACACACTGTGAACATATGCAACAGAAATACTCTAATTTAACCGTAGCACAGAATATGCAGTTCTCGATATGTGAAGATTATTACATTTAGAATTACCCATCTGAAATCTGTAGTTTACTAGTGTCTAGTGTATATAATATGATGTTTTCATTTCTTTCATATCAGAACTATTACAAGGGTAAAACTTGGGAGAAGAGATTTATATTTGTGAATTCTGATGCAAGAATACAGGAATACCAGATACAAGAAATCATTTCAGCTAGAAAAAATAACATACCTTTGTACGTGGAATCAATACATTTCTGGGTGCTGGCAAACCCTGTGAAACAGCATACTCCTGAGCTGCTAGAAGCTTTGCTGGAGTAAAGCGAGTGCCCTCAACAAAAAGGGCTAGCCAAAATGGTCTGGGGAAGTCCTTCAACCTTTGGAGGCCCCACTATAAGCATAGCAAGACCACTAAGTTAAAGAACAAACAATAGAATTATGTGTGTACTGTGTAGATGAGGTAAAAAAGTTACTTTCAATGTCTTTTCATCCTTTGCCCAGCTCCTTTCCAAAAAGAGGTATTCTGCAAACCACATGGACCAGCCAATAACCTGCAAAATGCAATCACAACATTGAGCATGTCTGCATGCAATCAAAACCGCTAAGTACTATATCAGAAGATAGATAACTGAATGCTTCGCATGTCTGTGTGTCTGCATCACTGAGATACTAGTGCACATTACATTAGGTTATGGATCTCCAGTAATTACAAAGAACTGAACCCGATAGGCTGCTTCTCCATCAGATTTCTAGCAAAAGCAGAACACATCTTTTCTGATCTTAGTTGATGGACATCAAATTTTCTTCAAGATTGCTTCATACCATTCCATTCCACATTGTACAGCTTCCATAAAAGTTGGTTGCACGCATATTTTCATGTGTAACAGAGAGTTTGAACAACTATAGCTATGTTACCAGAAACACAATGTATGTTCTACTACTAGTTCTTAGACATTTTGGGTACTGAACATTTAACTGCCAACCTACTCTGCTACTTATTGCTACAACCTGAATGACATCCACTTGACTGAATACAAAGTTCAAGCATATCAATTTTAGCCACCCTTAGATTAATATACTTAGCGGTTGGAGTGGTGGAATCTCAAGTGTAACATATCATCTAACGGTATTATATCAAATTTGCTTCAAACAAATTCACCATCAACAATCATAGAGCTCTGATGAGAAGGAACATATGACATAATAATGCAATATGTTATCTTATCATAATTTTAGTCCCAAGAGCAAGTTTAATATTTTATTACCTTCTTTACATTTTTTTTCAATAATAGCTTTATGCACATAACTTAAAAGTCAGCGGCACTAGTCTATAAGGGACTGAACTGCAAAACAAATGTTCCAGTAAAATGTACATGAGCTAGCTAACTCACTGGAAGGAATTTCGATGATTTCTTCATAACAGCAAGTGTACTTCCAAGGCATCCTGAGCGCTGACCACATGACAAAAAAAAGTTTTGGATGATTTATTATATATTACAGACAAATCTGTATATACTGAACTTCTAACAAAATATTGCAGTGTAACTGATGTTTCAACAACTAGAGAATGAGACCTGTGCCAAAATCCACCCAATAAGCCAATCGATATCGCTCCGATGATTTGATATGACAAGTGCATGCTCATTCCCTACAAAGATTCTTCAGATAAGTTTGTAACAAAATAAATGACATGGTGAACATTGTAAGCACTATCAACTGTGCTATAAAACTGATTCCTCACCCATTGCCTTGTAAGTTTCGTCATCAGCATGCAGTTGTATCTGCAGAACATGGGTTGAAATTATTTTAGGGGAAAGGCGAAATGGCAAAAATTAAAATTGTTTGCTTCATTAACATCAAATCAAACATTTAATCTTAAGCAGAATGCTCAAGTGGCAAGCCGGTAAATTCTATTGTAATCTGAATTGCTGTACACATGGATCATTCGCATAATGTACAGTTAGTTAATTAGCCACCAGAATTTGATTGATTATGCTGTACTCTAATTTTACTGCCATAATGAAGAGAAAAATGCAGTTGGATTTCAATTTTAGCTCCACGGGCCAAATTCAATCACAACAGTGGCAGTATTAACATGGCTGTTTTTCCAGACTCACAGCATATGCAGCTAAACCCTATAAAAAAAATGTCCAGGCATGAGGCGTCCAGAACCATCAAAAGAGAGAGTCCACATTCAAACTTTTCTCACTGCTCACAACTCAAATAATGAGCTCTATTAAATTGTAACATGCACGGCATACACATAAATGCAATAACAGTTAATTTCTGATCTGAAGGTTCTGGTTGCCGATTCGGTTATACTGTCCTAATGTGACAAAAGGAAGCTATTTCACACGGATGATTTGCATTGCACAACGGTTCCAAAATAAACTTTAGAACATTGCGTGTACATCAAATGTGGGTATTTTAACATTTTAGCAGAACAGGTAAATCTTGATACGAAGTGCATATCAGAAAGATGCTTTGTCACTGACCATATCAACATACCTTAACTCCTGCCCACCAATCCACAAGCCAGACCAGCTGAAGCCACAGCAGCTCGGCCAAGAACCTGTTGATCCGCCGGTACAAGCTCTTCGAGAACGGCCTTATCGAGAGAAACAGGACGGCCTGCAGTTTTTCACGAGCATACGAGCAGATCAGGTAATGCCGCATGCTGATCTTGCTGCGTAGTTGCGCGCAGATTAGCAGATCAAATGAAGCAAAGTTTGATGATTCTCGTTACAGTTTCGCGCAGTGACAGACAATTTTTTTTTAAAGTGAAAATAATTTAGTAATCCTAAATCTTTGCCTAAAACAGTACAAAATTAACCCAGAAATCCTAGCTACAATAATTTAGTAATCCAAGAAAGAGGCTACAAACAATCGACGAAATGATTTGCGCAAACAGAATACAAAAAAAAGAAAAAGAAACCAAATCTCGCGCCACGGCCGCATCAGATCGCCTGAGATACACAAGGGAAGAACAGAAAAGAAAAGATTTCGCCACCAATCTAGCTGAGGATTCGGGCGCACCTGGATGGCGTTGATGATGAGGCCGGAGAGGAGGAAGAGGAGGCCGAGCGGGAGCACGACGAGCACGAGTGGGACCGCCATGGCCCCTGCCGCCCTGCCCTGCCCTCACTTCCAATCTCGCGGGGCCGAGATGCGAAGAGGAGGCAACGGGCCGAGGTGGCTGGATGCTCACCCCCGAGGGAGCGCCCTCTCCTCGTCCTCCTCCTCCGGCGGCGGCGGCGGAGGCGGCGGCGAATCCACCGGCGACGAGAAGAGACGAGACGAGGAGGAAGAGGTGAGGTGGGGTGTTGGATTTGGAGATTTTATAGGGGGTTGGATGGAAAAAGACGCAGTGAAGCGTGTGCGCCCATGGTTCCCCCTCACCAGGAGAAGAAGAGGATGGATGGTGTGACACCTCGGATAATGATTGCTTTTTTTCTTCCCAATTTTTTCGAAGCTACTCTTACAATGGTGTTTGAGATAGATTTAACTTAATATGATGATTGATGATGAAATAAAGGTATGAAAAACTAGAAACCCTATTAGTATAATTAATTATGTTTTCGTTATTAAAAAAAATTAAAATTAGATTTATACGGTATTCCCTCCATTTCAGGTTATAAGACATTTTAAGTTTGGTCAAAATTAAATTATTTCAAGTTTGACTAAGTTTATAGATAAATATAGTAATATTTAGAGTGAATTTCAGAAACCCCGGGTTTTGGGGCACCTATAACACAAAACCTCAGGTATTACGATTTGTTTTAAAGAACCCTAAGTTTTGGGTCAAAATGTTTCAAGAAACCACATGTTTAAGCTTATATCATCGTTTTTGGCTAATATATTTATGCATAATAATTACAAAAATAATAATACGAGATATTTTTGAGTATATATAAATGTTAGCCTCATTTTAATGAATATAGGTCATTGGTAGTATGTTTGTTTATACCTGTAAATAATAGGTTAATGTGTTATTATTAATGAGGTTATGTTGCGTTTTTATCATTTGTGCAACTCAAGAGTGAGAAAAAGATAAATTACATAGGATGGGATGTGTTTTTGAAACCTACTAATGTAAACATATACTAAATAATCATATATAATATTTAAATTATGAGTATTTGAGTAAATATGGGGTCTCTTGAAATATTTTGCTCCAAAACATGGGGTTTCTTGAAACAAATAGTAGAACTTGGGGTTTTGTGTTACGAGCACCTCAAAACCTGGGGTTTTGTGAAATTCACTTTAATATTTATACTACTAAATTAGTTTCATCAAATTAATAATAGAATATATTTTCATAACAAATTTGTCTTGGGTTGAAAATGTTATTACTTTTTTCTACAAACTTATCAAACTTAAAACAGTTTGACTTTAACCAAAATCAAAATGTCTTATAACCTAAAACGGAGGGAGTATTTTAAATTAACTTCTATATAAAAAGATTTTGCACGAAATACACCATTTAGCAATTAAAAAATATGCTAACGGAACCGAGGTATAATTTATATATGAATTTATATCTTAATCAGAAACGGATGGGGAAATATGCACCAGTAAATAAAATCATACATCTTGTGTATATTGTGCATCTTCGGTTATAAATCATATCGTGCATCTTGTGTATTCAGAAAATATTGCAATTGTAAATAATAGAGTGCATCTCGTATATTTAAATAAGGGTTTACAATATCGTTTGGCCAGTAAAATTCGAGACCCGGCAAGACATCGATTTTTCTTCAGTAACCCTTGGGCATAGTTCGATACATTTTGAAAGAAAATCAACAAATTTTGAACCAATAGCCCGAAATGCACTGCAAGACCTGAATTTCGAGCAATATCTCGTGAAATTGTGAACCTGAATCAAACCAATTTATTTAATTAAATACTATCCAGAAAAAGTGGGCGAGTGGTATGAGAACATGAGAAACTTTGTGGTAGCAAGTGTGAGAAACATGTTACGTTACACTCGTTGTATGGTTGGAAAAAGGAAAGCAGCAAATGGATTAGTGTTTCCCACAATTTGGTCAAACAATTCTCAGATGAGACGTCTAAAACTCTCAAATTTGCGGGCATCGTTCGTTTAGGGGTGATGGGGGAGATTGGCTCTCGTTTTTCGCGCGCACGCTTTTCAAACTACTAAACGGTGTGTTTTTTGCAAAAAATTTCTATAGGAAAGTTGCTTTAAAAAATCATATTAATCCATTTTTAAAATTTAAAATAGTTAATACTCAATTAATCATGAGCTAATGGCTCACCTCGTTTTACGTATCTTCCCAATCTCCTCAATCCCCTTCTCCTCAAACACTCCGCTGCGTTCTTTCGGGGAGATAGGGGGATTGTCCCTCGTTTTCCGCGCGCACGCTTTTCAAACTACTATACGGTGCGTTTTTCGCAAAAATTTTCTATAGGAAAGTTACTTTAAAAAATCATATTAATCCATTTTTGAAGTTTAAAATAGTTAATACTCAATTAATCATGCGCTAATGGCTCACCTCGTTTTACGTATCTTTCCAATCTTCTCTATTTCCTTCTCCTCAAACACAGCCTTAGTAATCAAAGACACCGTTACGTGTTATGCTAATCATTGGGTTTCCAAGCAAACTTACGTGTAAGCTGATCTACGATGTGAAAACGACACTAACAGAAAGCAAAATACAAGCAACATATATACTGCAGTTTCTCAACTTTACTAGTTCACCTTTTTAAACGTTATTTGCATGATGTCAGTATTTTTAGTTTTGCCTCGCAAAAAAAAAGTTTCTTTAGTTTTGTTTTAGTTATACATATGTTACATTTAGTTGTGAGTAAGATATAAAAGTGGCATTACAATGGACAAGAAGACCACATGATACGCTTGGATCATAATAAAAAACAATATTAACTTGAGCTCACATGAAGAACACCTCTAGAATGTGTTCCCTGTTGACAGTGAGTCTTTTTCTCCGATTCATATGCATATACTCCCTCCGTTTATTTAATATATGATGCCTTAACTTTTATCCTAACATTTGACTATTCGTTTTACTAAAATAAAGTATATAGGTATTATTTATTTTGTTATGACTTATGTTATCATCAAATAAATTTCAATATGACTGTTTTTTTATACATACACGTTTAAATAAGATAAATGATCTAATGCCATGCTAAAAACTAACGTCGTCGTCTGTAAAAATAATAATAGTATATATCATTGGTTAAAACAGTTCATATGAAGTACATTTTCTCACATCAGTAACATGCTAGAGGATTTCAGATTCTTTTTTTTACCAAGATAAAAGAAAAACAGTTGTCAAAGTACATGAATGCCCAAGGGGGAACAATGCTATTAGTCATCACCTATGTAGAGGACAAAAAGGTTGCTTTTAGATGTGAGTGAATTTAATGTCGCTTTTATCTCTCCATAAATTAGGTGTAGGTATTTGTTGGTGAGCCCAAAAATTGAGCTGCTAGGAGTATCTACTTTGGCATCTCACATTAAAATCACACAAGGTGAATTAAACAAGGTTCTTTGTGCAAATGTTCCTTGAATGTGGCATTTGCAAAAGGGCTCTCATGCACGTTTGTTGCTATCAATCAGTATCAGGTGGTTCAACTAAGAGCTTACTGATTGTGTCAACCAAGGTCATATTCCAAGACATGACCTACCAAAGATGTTCCATTAATCAGTGAATCACTATTTGATGGTGTCATAGAACTGAGGTTTAACCACCACTTTGACTTTTACGATATGTTTGATGGCAACGGAAACTAGAGAAATACAAAGAATGTTTTGTAGGTTTGGCTTTTATTTTCTTTTTTTTATTGGAGGCTTTTTTTTCTAGAACATGGTTTCTTTTTTTTTTAAGGTTGTTCTTTTACTTTGAAAAGTGCGATGATGGAGGAGGATAACTGTACCTTTACATTACTACTATTTCAGTATGTACCAATATATTATAATGGGCCAGGTCCATATGGGCTAAGAAATGGTGATTAATAAGGATATAAAGTATTCGATATGATGGTTATGTTACACGGAGCGTAGTGTACAAATGCGTTGTGCGCGGTGAGAGGAGGGTTGAAAGGAGAACGAAGGTCTGACACAGAGATAATCATCATTTGATGGTACCATACACTATATCATAATTGTGGATGGATCCATAATTAACCCAAATCTCAAACCAACTGAAAAGAATTAATCCCTAGTACATAGTAAAGAAAAAATATTCATCCTAATGAGCCTCTGGTCATATACTTTATGCAACGATCCAAATAGCCTTGAGGTTCGGGTCCACCCCTAGTCATAGCAGCATAGTTTTTGGGTTCAAAGTTCAAATGTTGGGGCCGTGTTTAGTTGCAAAAGTTTTCTTCGAACTTCCATCTTTTCCATCACATCAAAACTTTTCTACACACAAAATTTCAATTTTTCCATCACATTGTTTCAATTTCAACCCAACTTTCAATTTTGATGTGAACTAAACACACCTCCAATCTCCTAACTTCAAGCACATCAATCTTGAAATGCTGCATACTTGCATTGACAAATTTGTTTATCTTTAAACATGTGCGAAATAATCAAACACAACGGACCTCATCTTTTCGCATATACTTGTGTTTATCAACCAAAATTTAAATTTTTAACCTTAAATTTGAAGCTGATTTTATCTTTTTATCAAGGCTTATTTTTTAGCTTTTATTTTTATATCGCTAAGGACGCGTAAATAAAAATTTTATTCTCTCACCTGACCGGTGGGTCCCACCTGTCAGCCTCACATCCCTCCAGGCCGTTACTACCCCCATCATCACCACCACCACCACTCCACTCCTCTCCCCTCCTTATCCCCTTCGTCTCCCGCCTCCGCTCCCCCGCGCGGCCACGGCGGCCATGGCCACCACCTCCACCTCGTCGCTGCTGCCTCTCCTCCCCTCCAGGACCCCGACCCCGACCCCTCGCCGCCGCCTCCCGTTCGCCGCCGCCGCCGCCGCCGCAGCGGCGCCACCTCGCCCCTTCCTCGTCTCCTCCCCTCCGCCTCCGCCCGCGCCCCGCGCCCGCCTCGCCCGCCGCGCCGCAGCGGGGGGCCTGTACGGTGGTGGTGGTGGGGAGGAAGAGGGAGACGGGGAGGATGGGGAGATGGAGGAGGAGTATTATGATGATGGGGACGAGGAGGGGGATTGGGAGGATGATGATGCGGAGGAGGGGGAGGAGATGGACGTCGAGGCGATGGAGGAGGAGGCCCTCGGCGCCGTCGCCGACCTCTCCGAGCGGCTCAGCCGCGAGCTCCGCATCGGTGAGTGGGGGGTTTCAGCTTCGATTCGCTACCTCCGACATGGCCAGGAAAGTAGGAAACTAGTTAGTGCTTGTGAAGAGATAGTAGCATTTAGCCTAAAGTGCATAATCTAGTGTAGTAGAACAATCCTGTGTGGAATTTTGAGTCAATCCGTAGTTCCGTACTCTGGTCGTGGCGGGGATGTTCGTATAAGATCAGATGGATATGCTGCTTGTTGATGATGAACTGATTGTTGTGCCGAGAATCATGATGATGCAGATCAATTGATACTTTGCCTTGGAGCATGATGTATGAGTTTGGGAATTGCAGTTCCCTGTATTTCTATATTTGAAAGTTTAGTTGTTAGTGCCTAGCGTCGCAAAGTTTTTCAAGTACAGTATTTCTTCGGTTTTCTCCTTTAGAAGCCTGTTACATACTTACATTGACTTTGTTTAGTTCATGGGCTAAATGCGTTGTGTCTTCAGATGACGATGTTCGGGATAAAAGAAGAATCATCAGGGATAAGACATCAGCATCTAAACATGTAATTATATCTTCGTATTCTTGTAAATTGTAACCCTAGTTGACAGGCTGGTTAAGAAAGTGCAAATGTAAACAACTTCTATTTTCTTTACTATTGGGTCCGTGATTCAGATACCGGATAATCTTCTTCCAAGGGTGGCAATAATTGGAAGGCCCAATGTTGGTAAATCTGCATTATTCAATCGTCTTGTTGGGGTAAGCTATTTACAGCTACAAATATTACTTGAGCGAAGAGTCAGCATTGTGTGTAATTTTTAGCTGAATGCAGAGGCTGCTATGGTGTATTGAATTCTGGTGTCTCACAGGGCAACAGGGCTATTGTTGTTGATGAACCTGGTGTGACTAGAGATCGTTTGTATGGACGATCTTACTGGGGGGATCGAGAGTTTATGGTTATTGACACTGGGGGAGTGATTACTCTATCAAAATCTCAAGCAGGTGTGATGGAAGAGCTTGCTATTACAACTACTGTTGGTATGGATGGGATTCCTCTTGCCTCTAGAGAAGCTGCTATTGCTAGGATGCCATCAATGATTGAAAAGCAAGCAGTTGCTGCTGTTGACGAAGCAGCTGTGATACTATTCATCGTGGATGGTCAGGCAGGTTCAGACAATTACCCTTTTTTTAATTTGATCATTTCATTTTCTGGATTCTTCTGTTATATTTGGTAGTTCTGATTTTTAGCAACACTTTCTACTGCAATAGTTTTTTCAGGAATACACAAAAGTTTTGCGTATCATTGCCTTTCTACTGTAATATGAAGGAATCAATTTTAGCACCTGGTCCTGCCAAGTGATGGACTGTTGATTACATACTAAAATCCACCACATTTACAATTGCTCCAATAATGTCTTGTAGTATGGTAGTTTTTGTACATGTGGTAAACAAAGGCATCTAGAGAAAAATATTAGATATTCCTGTTAGCATGTTTCTTGTCTCATTCTCTTTGTGTGATTTCTGTCTGAATCTTCTATTGGGTATTGAAGCATTCCTTTTCCAACTTCTGCATGCTGATCTATTAAACTTTTTAAGCTTCTGGTTATTTTCTACCTGGAAGCAGACTTACGTATATGGATTCTTATTTAACCTAGCTCATACGTAGAAAGATTGAATGTGTGTTTATAGTTGCTAGATTTGATAAACCTCCTGGTGCTGAAATTTTTGTTTTGTCTAGTGCCTTTGTTGCTTCATGCCCCTGACTAAGTTCATTCTTACATGGATTTGCATTACTTGTAGCTGTAATTCCCTATTGTTGTTTTTCGGTACTGTTGATTGAATTAGTGTTATGTAGTGTCTTATCTAACGGAATGGGTATCAAAAATCTTTCAGGATGGCCTTGTGGCAGCTGATATAGAAATTGCTGATTGGTTACGTCGCAACTACTCTGACAAGCATATTATACTTGCTGTAAACAAGTGCGAGTCTCCACGGAAAGGGCAAATGCAAGCTTTAGATTTTTGGTCATTAGGGTAAGTTCAACACGCAGTGACCCCTTGCTGTAATTACACAACACTCAGTTCATTTGCAATTAATAAATATTAAATGATGTTCTGTTGATTTTTCTTTTTTTACATTTTACGTACAGTTTGTATTAGGTCTGACATATTCTTGTGCTGATTAAATGTGAGAGGCCACAGACTTGATGATATTAGGTAAAAACGTTACTAAAGCCCATTGTTAGATGCGAAATATAAATAATGGACAACTAGTTTCTGAGCTTTTAGTGGTTCCACATGCAAGATCTCTAAACTCATTTCACTAGCATCGCTACAAGTTAAATGTGCTTTTAGTATACATAATCTGCATTCTGCAATGCTTTACTTGTGCTCTGACTCTGAAACAACCCAATTTGTTAACGATTACCTCATTTCTTTTATTGTTCACCACTCAACTTCATAAGAACAGAATGCCTATTGGCTGCTCAACTCATCGTTCTGTTGCTTCCTTCTAGATTTTCTCCTCTGCCAATATCTGCCATTACTGGCACTGGAACTGGAGAGCTCCTTGATATGGTGTGTTCAGAGCTAAGTAATTTTGAGGTACTGAACTTGCTTAGTTTGCCCAGAGGCCAGGGAATGTTTAATTGTGTATGTCTATATGCATGCTTGATACCCTTTTCTGTTTATGGTTGGTAATGGAATCATTATTATAATTTTTTGTTGCAACACTAAAATGTTACTCTTGGCTGCGGAAACAACTCAAGTATTGCTTCTGACAAATGGATATGCTAACTTAGTGGAATATTTCACTCTCTTTCCTCCAGTCCTACAAACCTAGATGAATACTGCTAGAAACACGTGGTGTGGTGACACCTTGTTATATCCAGCCTACCCATTGAGCTTCTAGATCCAGAACCTTGAATCATAAGTTGTGGTGTTTGTCTTTTCAGTAGTTCTTTAAAATAGCCTTCTCCTTTCCAATTTTGATTCATATATGGAAATATTTTGTCCATTACCTCACAAAATGTTTTACAGGAACTGGATGGAGTTGAAGAAGATGGAAACTATATTCCTGCTATTGCCATTGTCGGAAGACCTAATGTCGGGAAAAGTAGTATTCTCAATGCTTTAGTTGGAGAAGATAGAACTATTGTGAGCCCTGTTAGTGGGACAACCCGTGATGCCATAGATACCGAGTTCACCACAGAAGATGGGCAGGTTTGTTCAGAATGCTTATGAAAGTTTAAGTGACCAAGAGCAGCATCATTATTTCATTATTGACCCTAGCTATGTCCACTTTTCATGCATCTTTCATCTTTGTAGCAAAACACAATTTGAATTGGAAGAAAGAAATTTACATCTCATAGGAAAGTAATTCTAATTTGCTGATATTGCAATATGCTGCAGAAGTACAAACTCATTGACACCGCTGGCATCCGACGAAGGGCAGCAGTTGCTTCTGCTGGCAGCACAACGGAAACACTTTCAGTAAAACGTGCATTTCGTGCAATCCGCCGGTCTGATGTGGTTGCCCTTGTTGTTGAAGCAATGGCCTGCATTACGGAGCAGGTATCTCTACCCCATCACATGCACATGTGCACCCCCAAACAATTCAAAGAGATGTTGTCTTACCAATCTTTTCTAACATGGTGAATTTCTGTGGTACCAAGGACTATAAAATAGCAGAAAGAATTGAGAAAGAAGGAAAAGCATGTGTAATTGTTGTGAACAAATGGGACACAATCCCAAACAAGAACCATCAGAGTACAACATATTATGAGCAAGATGTAAGAGAGAAGCTTCGCATACTCGACTGGGCTCCTATTGTTTATTGTTCTGCAACACATGGCAGCAGCGTTGACAAGTTAATCCCTTAACTTTATTTTTTACTCCGCAATAAGCATTTGGTACTTCACTACTATAGCATTTGATGGTTTAAGCTAGGCTATTTGTAGCTTGTCGGTGTTATTGTCTATTTTCCTGCATACCAGACCTGAAATTTAAGCTGATGTCATTAAGGCATTAACTAATGTTTCATGCTGAATCTTCATGTTCCTCTGTTATCTCCCAATTTCTTGTAATCCAACTAATTGCATTGCATGTAGGAGATTGTTAACTTCACTAGATATGTTTTTCTGTATTGGCATTGTAATTATTCTTTATACACAAATATTCCTCAGGATAATTTCTGCTGCTGCACTAGTTGAAAAGGAAAGGTCTAGAAGACTTGGTACGTCTATTCTTAATCAAGTTGTTAGAGAAGCTATAGCATTCAAACCACCACCACGAACAAGAGGTGGTAAAAGAGGTCGTGTTTATTACACAACACAGGTAGCTTCTAACTTCTTATTGAACCATTCTGTTTATTCCTCTTAAGCCAACAAGTTTATGGTCTCACCTTTCAAGTAAGTCGTAAAGGTCACTAGCGTTCTCTTGATCTCTACTACAACTAAATTTTCACTTCCTTGTATGTCAAGTGAAGTCCTTAAATCAAATACAGCTCCTTAATTCATTTTTAAGTATCTGAAGATATATGATTGATTGAAACTGGATCCCTTAAAGAAGTATTTCAAAGTCAGCAAAGGATCCACTGGTTACCCACTTCAAAGTATATTTGATACACTCACTGTCCTAAGATAGAGTAGTAATATGCATTCTGCAATATTATCAGGGCCCTTTGAAATCCGTACTGCTTTTAGATTTGTAAAGTTCACCTTGGGGAAATGTTTTCATGCTTTCCTTTTATTTTCGCACCAAAGGAAGCTTATTCTTAACCTGCAGGCTGCCATTCGTCCGCCAACGTTTGTTTTCTTTGTTAACGATGCAAAACTTTTCCCCGAGACATTCCGTCGTTACATGGAAAAGAAGCTTCGCTCTGATGCTGGATTCCCAGGAACCCCTATTCGTTTATTGTGGCGTAGCAGGAAGAGACCAGATAAAAAAGGTGAGTCGATATCAAAGTGCCCACTTGCATAATCTCAATGATTTTAACTGAATAATTTTTCTACTATCATACCTGCATGCATAGAATTAGAAAAGATTATTTTGTGATTGAATCATTGAAACAGACAGAACGACAATGCTAGATAAGTGAAAAAACACAGAAGGAACAAATATTGTGCTATCAGCAAGAGAGATTTTTGCAGTCCCATTATATTTGATTTCACCAATTTCTATGATATATGTAGGTGTACCGTGCACATGATAGGTTAAGGACCTTGGTCCTTGTATTAGAACAAATATAATGCTAATATCTGCTGAGGCTTGTAGCATCAAGGTAGTTGACCAAAGTAATAAGAATACAAAATATCATGTGATGATAGAACATATAGAAAAACTATTTAATTGATCTGGGTATATCCAACACCGCTATGAATTTCATATTAGGAGTAATGTTTTGTGCTCTACCATACCTGCTGTTATAAGTCATATGATGATGAGGTTAAATAGAATTGTCATACTAATTACTCCATCTGTTCTTGGCAGGTAAATCTGCAGACAACAGCTTGCAGAGCTCAGTAATCCCAAGCAGAATGGCGTTAGCCACATGAGTTACACATGCTTTTCCTTTCTTGAGAGCGGAAAAAGGGAGAGAATACAGAATGCTTTGCCTGCATTTTTTCCCAAGAGGTCAAGACTGCCGGTAAAAAAAGAGTACAAATTGTATATGTAGTGGACGAGTACTAGGACTGGAGGTCATCTACTAGGTGTTGTGACTACATGGTGCTAGTATAAGTTCTGTATCCTTGGATGTCTAGGATGACCAGCAATTTGCCACGTTTGGTGTTCTGACATTTGCTTGTGCCTTGGACGAATACTGAATAGTACTCTCTCCGTTTCAATTTCAGGTTATAAGAAGTTTTGACTTTGATCAAAATCAAACTACTTGACTAAATTTATATACAAATATAGTAATATTTATAATACCAAATTAGTTTTATTAAATAATAATTGAATATATTTTCATAATAAATTTTTCTTGGGTTGAAAATGTTATTATCTTTTACTACAAAATTAGTCAAACGTAAAGCAGTTTAACTTTGACCAAAGTCAAAATGTTTTGTAACCTAAAATGGAGATAGTAGTATATTGCGTACCGGAATTTGCCACATCGGTGCCTCCACATTTTTTTAACGTCTCGCAACAATGCAAAGTTCATATTCATATTGATAGAGTAAGAAAAAAAGAAAAATAACCCACACCCATGCACCGACAGCTCCAACCCAACAAACCTAGGAGAAAAGGCTAGCACCGAACTGGTTGTCGCTATGCATGACCAGTCGCTGCTAGGCCAACAAAGGAACTATATCCGAGAATGTCCAAAATCTAACCCTAACAACTGACACCAAGCCCACTCTAGCCACCTCTTGAGATTGAGGGAGAGAGGGGGTGAGAGAGAATGTTGGAATGCTTTCCCCCCTAGCCCTTCGTCATGTCCACCTTGCATAAGCTAGAGCGCCGACACAAGGGGACATGCATCTAGAGCAAGCTTACACCAGTTGTCTGGAAGGATTCGGCAAGGGGCTGCCTAGATAATGTCTCCAAGGAGAGGAGCAAAGGATACACCGCTGTCGTCGTCCATTAAAGTCTCAAAGAGAGCCGAGACTGGGTTTTCACTCGGCAGCCCCACTGGAGGTGAAGGGGCGGCACGATAACGCCCTCAAAAGGTAGAGACGTTAGGGTTTAGAAATTCATTTCAATTGATTTAATTTACCTTTTTATTTGGAAATATTTAAATATTCACCTCGAATACTCCAGTGACCGCTTCGTGCACCATACCGACCGCCTCGACATCTCGAACGATCCAGCTCAGCTCAATCTCCCGAGGTAACGCATGGCGCCTCGTTCTCCCCGAAATTACGCCTACTCGTATTAGAGCAAGGTCAATAGTGCAGCCCACTACTAGCTCCAAATCGTCTATAGCCAATGTAATAGCCAATTCATATAATAGTTGCTTACTGTACTATTAATATCTGGTCCCACATGTCATACACACATTACGTCTTGGAGTCCGTGCTGCAGCTGGCTACAAATCTGTAGCCCGCTCCTCTTCTCTCTCTTCCTTTATCTCTTTAAAATATGTTTATAGCTGGCTTATAGCCTGCTATTGTACCTGCTCTTACTACTCCTACGATTCTTTTGACCAAATATTTTCCACCGTCCGTTGGAATTGCAGTCACTGACACCCTGACCCCACACGCACCCTTACCCCTCCTGTATATATACCCCCTCTCGATTTCACCATACGTTCCCCTCCCCCTCCCTTTCACTTTCCCCATCTCCTAACACCACGGCGAAGATGCACCGTCTCCGCCGCCGGCCGACCGGAGAGCACGGCACCTTCTCCGCCGCGCTTGCCCGCCGGTGGCTGCCGCGGAAGACCTGTTCCTTTCTCCGGCGGACGGCGGGCGGGCCTTCCGCGCCGTCGACCCGTCCATAGCTCCGCCTCCGTGATGGCTTGTCGTGTCGCCGGCGGCGGCGGCGGCGGCGGGGGTGGGGTTTCCTCCGCCGCTTCGTCTCGGTGGCGAGGCCGACGGCCCATTGGGGCCCAATGGGGAAGGCCCATCCCCCGTGGCGGCTTCCCGGCCACGCCAACGCCTTCTTCTTCTGATGAACTCTCCCTGGCAACTGGGGCCCGCACCGACTCGCCCAACGGTCTCCCCCAATTTTCGCCTCTCCCGCCTCTCCTCTCTTCCAACTCCGACGAGCGGGGCCAACGCCGATCGCCGCGCCGGAGCAGGGCTAGGGTTCCGGCCACCGCCACCGCCAGAACGGTGCGTCGCGTCCCGTCCCCATCCTTCTTCTGCTTGCTTTCCCCCCGTTGTGTTGCGCTGTGTTTTTGATTCCGTTGTTCTTGTTGATTTTCTTGCAGGAATGGGGGGTTCGTTCGGATGGTTGGAGTTTCTCTTATCGACCTCGCACCCGTGCGAGGATGATGCGGCGGAGGAGCTTCCCGTCGAGCCGCCGGTGGCGGCGATGGATGCCGCCCATGACGGCCGCGATGAGGTGCGGGGAGAAGTCCCCTCCGAGCCGTCGGAAGTACTCGCTGGAGAGGAGGAGGCGGCGATGGATGCCGCCCATGACGGCCGAGGCGAGGTCCGGGGAGAGGTCACCTTCGAGCGGGCGATCGGTGCCTCCTCCCGTGCGGGTTACGAAGGCATCAAGCTGGGGGAGGAGCCCTCCCTCAAACCGGCGATGGTGGGCGCGCCCGAGATTAAGATGATCGAGATAGCAGAGGCCTCCTCTGTTGCCCAGTGGGACTTGTTGGCGGGGACGGAGGATTGCAGCCCTGAGATTAACCCGAAGATTGTCGACCTCCAGCAGCAGCAGCAGGAGGCCTCTCTCCTTCCTGATGAGGTCATCTCTGAGGCAGACGCGTCAATCTTGGCGCAGTATTCATCGGTGACAAAGAAAGACGATGATGCTGAGTTCTTGATTTGTCGGCCAAACTTTGGTTTTGTTACACGACCACAGCAACACACTCCCAAGAAACGGCACCCCAAGAACAAGCGGGCTATGGGGATTAACTTGGTAAGATGTTTAAAGCCAACACTATTTGTATCTGTCTGCCTTCTTTTTGGACATGGAATTTATACTGATTTCATTATTGATGTTTCAGGCTAAGTCTTCTTGTTCTTACTGTTTTCACTTATATCTTGTATTCCAGATAATTTTTCTTGATGGAGATTGTTGTATTTAGTAGATATATGTTATTCTGTCTTGATGGAGATTGTCAACTTTCATAGACATGTTATTCTGTTTTGATGGAGATTGTCAACATTAATAGACATGTTATTATGTCTAGATGGTTATTATTAACTTTAATATACATGTTATTTAGTGTAGGCATTTTTTTTAATATTTATTTTTGTTTTCTCTGTTTTCTTAGGTTACTCTACAATCTACATGTCTAACAGCCATTGATAATTTATATTGTCATTGTGTTTTAATTAAATTGATATTTTGTGGTATTGTGTTTTGTAGTGGTTAATCTTTAATTGTTAATTCATTTCTTTCTTCATCTCTGATCTAGTATGAATTATCAATGGTGTAAGCAAGATTTGTGCTGTAAGCCTAATTGATTTTTTCCTTAACACCAGACTTAACTAAGATATTAGCTTTATATTTTTCAATGCGATTCGTGTTTTTGCTCTATATCTTAACTAATATAGATGGTGGCTCTGAAATAAAACTAACACAAGACAATCTTGTAACAAATATAGTTCGTGCATGCTTTGCCATATTATTGTAGGGATTAAATTCCATCAGAGCTTTTACTGGTTGATTAATACTGTCAATAGTATTGTATATAAACAGTGAAGATTAAGGCAAGTAGGCAACTGATTTTGTTGATTTAAATTCACTGAGCTTTGCTTTTCTGATGTTTATATGTGCTGCCTTGTGCCCATGTCTTTTTGCTAGTCCTGGACACTGCTTGCTTTGGCACAATGCATTCATACGGCCCAATGGTGCAGTCATACCTTTCCCTTGTTGTTAGGCTTAGTTCTTAATCCCTCAACGTTTGTTGTACAGGTTTCGAGCCAAATAAATGTTTGCTTGTTGAATATGCCTTGAATAATTTTGTACTATTATTAAATAATGAGTCATCTTTTGGTTAATCTGCGTTTGTTTGTATTAGATGTGTTTGTACATATTATTGATATTCAGTTATTGCGTCCAAAAACATGATATTCAGTTAATCTGAATTTATTTGGTTCATCTGTTTTACTATGGGATTGATTACCATTCATCGTGAAACTAATGTTTGATCTTTTGTTTTTCAGTTGGATCGAGAGGGAAATATCTGCAGTGATGATAAGCTTCCAAGTCAGGGTTGCTTGGTTGGTGAATACAATAATCTTTTGCTGCAGTTGTATCAGCTGCTGTTCGATTTAAAAGAGCTAATGGAGCTTTGTGGCCAAGCTGATAAGATCCAGAGTGAGGTGTTCCTTAAAAAGGCAATGAAAAAAGCTTGCAGAGATTCTGATGATGCTGTTGCAGACATAGTGTTTCAGGCCCTAAAGGTAGATGGTTTCATTCTGAGGCTATTAAGGTATCTGAAGAGCCAATTCAATTTTTGCCGGACCCAGGCATGGAAGATAAGGAATGAGATATTGAGAATTGGTGGTACACCCATCAATGATCCACTTTCCAAAGATTCTCCTTGAACTTTTTGCTTCTGGGCCCTTGAACCACCTCCAATATGGGACGTTGTTCTAGAATCATTGAGACATATGCTCCTGATTACCACATATTTTGCACTTTGGCTTGTGGTGGTCGTAATTGTTTTGTGCTAAATGTAATCCTCTAACAGGCTGAATGTGAAACGGTCAGCTGTGGTACTGTATATAGACATGTATCCAATCTGAAATGCTTTGTATGGTTGTATACCTGGATGGACATATGCATCCTATGGATAGCTGGTGCCCAGCTGTGGCAATATGCTCGTTGTATATGAATTAGCACAGAGAGTGGTGAATATGAAACTTCCTGTTCTTGTTGATATTTCACTTTATGTTTTAAATTCTCGGCATCACTGCTTGTGAAATTGTTGAAATTGTCCTGGTTATTCTTGGATTATAAATATCTGATGACTTTTTTGTTTCTGTTTCTATTTTTCTATAATTTTGAAATGTAATAAGCCTTCGGATATTTTTTTAAGGGCCCTCTTAATTTGTAAAGTCTTCTGTATTTTGTGATCATAACAAATTTCTTGTTCGCGGATCGGACAAGTTGTCCAATCTTTTTCAACTCGATGCATTGATGTCAGTATGTTTGGTTGTGGACAGACACCGTTTCGGATTGGATATCATCCGACAACCTTGGTCTTCAGTGCCCGTGTCTCGTTTGCTTTATTTGTTTCGGACGTCCCTGTCGCTTCGACTCCGATTCTGTTAACTTCAAGCGTGAAGGCCCTATATAATGAATGCACTTGTTCGCTTCTCTCTCTCCCTCTCTGTCAAACCAAGATCGACGCTCTGGTTGCTTTGTTAAGTCTGCACAGGGAAGAGAAAATTGTACGAGTTAACTGATTTGGGCAATGGAAACCTCAGGCTCTGACGAGATGCAGCAGGGCGTAAAGGTTGATACGACTCGGGTCATAGAGAACACTGCTAGCACCGTCGACAGCGAGACGCCCGTAGAGCAAAAGAGGAGAAAGAAGGTGGAAACGGAGTATGTCCTCGGTGGGAAGGATCTAGAGTTTATCTTGTCATACGAGGACGATGAACTTGAGACATTTGATGAGGATATGCTCAAGGACCAGGCAATGGTCCGGCAACAGATTGAGAATTTTGGCTATGGTTTCCTCCATAGCTGGAGGGAAGTTATCTGCACTGATAGTGAAGAAGAAGATGACCCCGTGTCCGATGATGATGATGATGATGAACAAGATGACTTCTTCACCAATGATGATGATGATGACCAGCAAAATGTCGACCAAATGGATAAGAACATGTATGCTGAGGCCTGAGGGGCTAAAAAGCTAAAAACGATCACAATTTGTACTTTTCTTACAATATATATTGCATGTCTTAACTTAGTTATTCAATTGATTCATACCTAAAAAAAATAAATTGATTTATTGTCGTATATATAACTAGATCTGATTTATTTCTAGATATATTTTGTTCTTCATATTATTAAAACTTGGTGATTCTTTACTTTTTCTCCTAATTTATAACAATATTGGATATTTATCTGTTGGATAAATTCTCCTGCCATCTTCCCCTGAAAAAAAATATATGTTGGATAAATTAGTTTATAGCATCTACTAATCCTAATTTGCTATAGATAGCATCGAAAGGTTTGGCTCACTTTAATAGTACCAAAAGTTGGAGGCGCCTATAAATCGGGCGCCCGATTTTTTTATCAAAAGTTTCGAAACCCTAGCTCCCCGATAGCGACGGCGGCGCCGGGCATGCCTCCTCGTCGGTTGCGGCTCCACCCACTTCAGGAGGAGAGGAGAGAGAAGAGAGGGGGTGAAAATAATATTAGGAGAGTAGAGGAGGTGAAAAAAAATTGAAGTGCTAAGAGGGAAAAGAGAGAGGAAGGAAGAAAAAAATGTGGATAATTGGGGTATTTTCGTAAGTGAAAATATGCTCATTTTTACATGTGGCCTCTTAAGAGGTCCGTTTGCGAAAATAAATTTTAAATACGGGTCTCTTAAGGAGTCGTTTATGAAAATAGAGATCATTATTTAGACCCGATCAATTACGGTTCGCTTGCAACTTATTAGGGTTTATGTACGGAAAAATCGTTTCTACAATAGTGAATTTTTAATTTTAAAAATAAAGCATACTTATTTTAAATCTAAACGGTAACAGTACGGTTTGAAAATTCCAGCTCACGTCGACTGTATATCTGCGTTTACTCGGTCTCACATCCGACGGAATTGATTCCGATCACAAATCAATTGTTTAATCCTGTTCTATTGAGCTAATCAGATTCTGGTTTGGTTAGGTATCCTGATTCTGTTAAGTTAAGCCAACCTGATTCTGTTTTGTTTAGATCTAAAGATGGTCTAATATATACTACCTGCATAATCAGTTCCTGCTAATCTCAAAAGCAAGAACCGTGACTACTCCAGACTCCAGCCTAGCGAGAAGAGAGAAAGAGAGAGACAGACTCAGAACAGTGACAATTTCAGATTTGCAAGAAGAGACAGCAGGAGTAAGCCAACCGATTAATCGATGGAAACATTCAGCTGCTCCGAAAAATTGCAGCTTGATGCAGACGTTGATACTTTGGTTGTCGAAATCACAGCCACCGTCGTACACAACGGGCTAGCCACGAAGGTGATCGAGAAAGAAGAGGAGAACTTGAAAAAGAAAAGAAAATGTGTGAAGAAGATGCATGGTGGAGTTTGTCATTGATGGTGATGACTTGGAGTTTACCTTATCATATGAGGAAGATGAACTTAGCTTCCTTTTCGAGAAAAGCAATGAGCTCATGCTAAAGGATCAAGAAATGTTCCAGCGGCAGATCGAGAATTTTGGCTATGCCTTTATCCATGGTGTGAAGGAAGTCATCCTCACCGATGATCGATGAGGACGAGGAAGGATGCGATATCTTAAGTGACGACGACGAAGATATCTCCATCGCCAGACACCCTAACTAGGACGATTTAAACACCATGGATGTGACAACTGACAAATACTCATTGATGAATACAAGTTAGTTCTGCATGAGAATGCAGCTAGTGATCTGTTTCTAATATACTACTCCGTTTAGTTCCACTGATTTGGTATTTTGCATCGGTTCTTCGTTTAATGTGCTTCCTGCTCCCACCTCATCGCCTCAGGATGCAGCTAGTTTAGGCTGTGCTTAGTTCCTCGGTCAAAAATTTTTTAAGTACACAAACACACATTTGAAATATTAAACGTAGACTAATAACAAAACAAATTATAGATTCCGTATGTAAACTGCGAGATGAATTTATTAAGTCTAATTAATTTATCATTAGCGAATGTTTACTATAGCATCATATTGTCAAATCATGACGTAATTAGGCTCAAAAGATTAATCTCGCAATTTATATGCAAACTGTGCAATTGGTTTTTTTTATCCACATTTAATGCTCTATCCATGTATCAAACATTTGATGTGACGGAGTTTTTGGAAGTTTTGAAATAAACTAAACACTGCCTTAGTATATTTTCTTAATTTGTACCACTAAACCTATTAGTATTATTTAATTTGGAGATAATTAATTAAGACGGACAAAAACAATTCGGGGAACAATTGTTGGTATATAAAAATAGTAAAGCAAAAGGTGTTATTAAGCCCTACTGATTGGTGGGGCCGTAAAAAATGTGGGGGGGGGTCCAAAAATAACAATTTTTTATACAGATGCTTATATCATCCACACGTAAAAATAAAAAAAAAATTCCCTGGAACAGAAGAGCCTTATCTGGAAAAATAGTGCTATACGGATATTCTGCTCTTTTCTGTTTATGGTTGCTGATGAAATTGTTTCAATAAATAGGTATTATAAGGATATCATGATAATTTAATTTTTTTTTGAGAATTACACAGTATAACGCAGACACTCACAACGCGCGCACTTAGATCACCCCTATGAACACACGCACGCAAACCCTACCCCTATGAGCATCTTCGAAGACTGGGCCGGGAAATCCTGGAGAGATTAACGAAGTCACCGCAGGCGCCTCGCTGTCGACGGGTACGTCGCCTACCACTGAAAGCACAACGCCTCTTTGAAGACTGGGCCGGCAAATCCTGGAGAGATTAACAAAGTCACCACAGACGCCTCGCTGTCGACGGGTACGTCGCCTACCACTGAAAGCACAACGCCGATATATATATCCTAGAAAATTCACTCCCATGGTGAGTCGAAACCAGGACCTCAGGTGCTACTAAGACTCTTGTAACCACTAGGCTATTTTTTTAGGTTAACTGGACACATGCCATTACAAATTGCCTATTTAGAAAAACACCATTACTATCCATCGAATCAGTCGGATGCCACTCTGCTCTTCTACAATTGGAACCGTACCACTCCGTCATGGGTTGACAGAAACCGTGACGGAATGACTTGGTTCCAATTTTAGAATAGTAGAGTAGCATCTAACCGATTAGTAATAGTAATGATTTGATTTTGCTTTTCTCCAATCCTACAAAACTGGGAAGCATTGTTCTGCTTAGATAATCTACACTGATGTGACAATTTAACGCCGTTTGTGTAAGTTATTAAAACTGGTCTTTTTTTTTTCAGTTGGGAAAAGATGGAAAGGACTGTAGTCCTGTGAAATTCAAAAACAGGATGACTTTGTTACCGAGTTAAACAATCATTTGATAACTGTTTACCAGACAGCACTCAAGATTAGAGAAATGATTGAATTGTGTGAGTTTTACGCAAATATGTCAAACTCCAAGAGGAATGCCATTCCTGCAAAGATGCTGAAGAATGCTCACTGTCAGGAAGATTTTGGTGTCCTTGATTTAATTGACCAGGCGCAGAAAAATGACAAGTTTTTTTTTGCTAACATTGCTGTGAAATTGAAGTGTTTGCTGGGACGTCTTTGTACTGCAGGTTACAAACTCCGGCTGATAATAATCAAAAACAATGGCAGGCCTATCAATGATCCAATGTCATTAGATTCTGCTAGCTAGGTAGCTCCTTATGATTGGAAGTAGTCCTGGGAATGCTCTTCAGCTTTGATTTGGAATAGAAAACAATGATAGATGCTCAGTCTCCTTCCTTAAAGACCTGTGAGATCTTCATATTTTCTATTTCCCTCTTGTGTGTACAATCTTCTCTTTGTGTTGGTACTTCTGTTTTTAGGTGCAACAGATGTTTGATGACCAGTGCAATTTGTATTCGATTTTGTGTAAAGCTGCTTTTAGGTGTAGTGCCATTGTCTATTGTTGCTTGCCTGGTACCTTGTGAATTCTTGGTACAGTATGATGATGAGAAAATACCAGTATAATCATTTCTGGCCTTGAAGATATATTTGTTTCTGAGTACTTGTAGTAGTAGAACTCTATGTTGTGCTGGGATGTTTGGTGTTCCTAACTTCGTTGTGTAGAGCTCGTGTTAAATTGGTGTATTCTCCTGGTCATGTGTTCAGATCAGTTTGTGGATTCATATTCAATCGGTGAATTGATATAGGCTTCAGACTATATATTCAAATCGGATTATGCTTCGGACTTCGTTTTTTCTGTTCCACTGTTCCTCCGAATTATGTCGTACTGGTGAGAAAGATCGATTAAATTAGTTAGTAGTGGATTAATTTAATTCCGATTCTGTTCAACCCAGTCTCAAGTTCTTTATACTACTACTACTTATTGCTTTCTGGTCGCTGCCCCCTGAAAGCAAGATCGACGCGAGCGTACGTCACAAACGACTTGCGAGAAGATAAACTGCAGGAGCTTAGCTGCTCGATCGATCAATGGGAGCATCGTTCTCCTACGGACAAACGCAACGGGTCACCGAGAATAATAATGCCGCTGCCTCCACCGTCGTCGCCGTCGTCGATGCGCCGGGTAGGGGCGGATCCGATGTGAGTTCCCCCTCCCAATCAATTCTAGATCCGCCCCAGACACCAGGTCTGGAGCGGGGCAGGGGCGGATCCAACGTGAGTTCTCCCTCCCAATCAATTCTAGATCCGCCCCAGGCACCAGATCTGGAGCGGAACAAGAGGAAGAAGGTGAAGAAGATGGTGGAGCGTGTTATCGATGGTGGGGATCTAGACTTGGTCTTATCGTACGAGAACGACGAAGAATGTTTGTTAAATGAGAGCATGCTCGAGGATCAGGAAACATTCCGTCACCAAATCGAGAATTTGGGCTATGCGTTCATCCATGTCATGAGGGAAGTCATCCTAACCGATGATGAGGATCAAGAGGAAGGCGAAATTGTCACCTATGCTGAGGAGGAAGATGATATTGTTACCGATGATGATGATGAGGATGATTAGTAATTAAGCAACGAGGAAGGGGCTAACAACA